CGCTAACAGACGTGGGTCAGTCAGCGGGGACCGCTAACAGACGGGGGTCGGTCGGCGGGGACCGCTAACAGACGTGGGTCAGTCAGTGGGGACCGCTAACAGACGTGGGTCAGTCGGCGGAGACCGCTAACAGACGGGGGTCGGTCGGCGGGGACCGCTAACAGACGGGGGTCGGTCGGCGGGGACCGCAAACGACCGAGACGCTGCGCCGCCGGGCACATGCCGGGAGTTATCGACACACGACAACAAACAGCGACCATGCCTCTTCTATAAACACACAAACAAACACCACACTGATTGCAGGTCCGCCCGACAAGGGCGTTCACACGCAGCCGTCTGCATGTCGACAGGCTCACACATAACGAGCATGTTCGCTGTCAGTCATCAACACAAACACAACAGCGCTTACAGCTGTCAGATGTCACCACTAAAACAATGCCCATGAATCTCTCGACAATCCGCTCTGGCTAAATCCCGGCCAGCACCCGGGGAAAACCGCAGCCGCCACGACCACAAAACACCGGCGTAGTCCCGGTCGGCACTCCTCGTGCCACACCGGGCGGCGCGGGCCCCACGCGGGCCGGGACAGACAGTCACCGGCGCGCGCTGGACACGCGTACTGGAGACGGGTGGACACACGTACCGTAGGCGCGCGGTTAACACACGTGCCGGAGGCGCGCGCTGGACACACGTACCGGAGGCGCGTGCTGGACACACGTACCGGAGACGGGTGGACACACGTACCGTAGGCGCGCGGTTAACACACGTGCCGGAGGCGCGCGCTGGACACACGTACCGGAGGCGCGTGCTGGACACACGTACCGGAGACGGGTGGACACACGTACCATAGGCGCGCGGTTAACACACGTGCCGGAGGCGCGCGCTGGACACACGTACCGGAGGCGCGTGCTGGACACACGTACCGGAGACGGCTGGACACACGTACCGGAGGCGCGTGCTGGAAACACGTACCGGATGCGCGCGCTGGACACACGTACCGGAGGCGATCGCTGAACACACGTACCGGAAGCGCGTGCTGGACACACGTAACGGAGGCGATCGCTGAACACACGTACCGGAAGCGAGCAGGCCAGCGGCGAAGTTCTTGGCGCGCAGCAGCGACTCGTTGTAGGCCAGCCACTGGTACGGCTTGTCCTTGTCCTCATGCCAGCCCAGGCACGGACCGTTGTCTGCGGGGGACACGTGCGATGTCAGCAGGACAGGACCCACGCGGCCCGTGTCCGGTCGGGAGGTAGGACAGACGCTGGGACGGACGGTTTGTGTGCGGTCGGGGGGGAAACAGACGCTGGGACGGACGGCTTGTGTCCAGATAGGAGGCGGGACAGACGCTGGGACTGCCAGCCTGTGTCCACACGGGAGGTGAGAAAGACGCTGGGACTGACGGTCTGTGTCCAGAAGAGAAGCGGGACAGACGCTGGGACTGACGGCCTGTGTCCAGAAGAGAAGCGGGACAAACGCTGGGACTGCCGGCCTGTGTCCAGACGGGAAGTGGGACAAGTGCCAGGACTGACAGTCTGTGTCCAGACGGGAGGTGGGACAGGAGCTAGACGCTGGGACTGACAGTCTGTGTCCAGACGAGAGGCAGGACGGACGCTGCGACTGACAGTCTGTGTCCAGACGAGAGGCAGGACAGACGCTGCGACTGACAGTCTGTGTCCAGACGAGAGGCAGGATAGACGCTGGGACTGACAGTCTGTGTCCAGACGAGAGGCAGGATAGACGCTGCGACTGACAGTCCGTGTCCAGACGAGAGGCAGGACGGACGCTGCGACTGACAGTCTGTGTCCAGACGAGAGGTAGGACAGACGCTGCGACTGACAGTCTGTGTCCAGACGAGAGGCAGGACAGACGCTGCGACTGACAGGGTAGAAAAGGCGGCGATGCCCAACACATCCACCGCTGAGAATCTGTGAGCACGGACACATCACAACACGCAACAATGAGGTCAGCGTTTGTTCAACGTGCAGCGTGCACTCACAAGTACACAACAGTGCTGACACAAGTGGCGGACGTCAAACGGTCTTGATCACCACGATGACTCAGACATTTAACCCCGTCACATCATGTCGGTACAATCTGCGACCAGATCACTTCGGTAAATCTGCAGCCAGCACAATGATCGCAGGCAGCAGCTGAAGCTCACTCACTGGACAGCTTAGCGCCCCGTCGGAAGGCGTCGAACATGGTTTTGCACGACTCGTCCAGGTACTTGAAGTACTGCCCATCCTTGGCGCCGGCGTACGGTATGCGAGACTTCCTCACGAGCTCGGGCCCCTGCGAACGTGACGGTACCGGTGAGCGGCCGGTGGCGGGGTGTCGCCGTCCGGTCCGTAACCGTGTCGGATACGGTTACGGCGGGATGACGAGGTGCGCGCCACTTCCCACGGCGGTGGCGCTTCGCGTGCTTTCTCGGCCGGACGGGGAGACCGCGGCGGCTGACTTCGTGTAGCGTAGGGGAGATAGCGAAGATCTCCTTAGCCGTGTCCAAGGAGCAACTCTGGACAAAAAGCTTACATACGAGCAACAAACCGATAATAATGCCGACTCGCGTTTTAGGATGCGGCTGACGTGCGACCAACAAGCGGACGATGACGACGACCCATGCTTTAAGATGCGCCGACTTCTAGGTGCACGGTGGCCATGACCAAAAGGAAAATGTCTCGTAGTCGGAAGAGCCCCCCCCCTCCCTTGCGGTTGCCTGCCGCACCACACCGCCTCCGAGGTCATCGTATTTCATAAATAAACAGGGACTCAACAGGCACCACGAATGCAACAAACCGATCACTGCCAAAGCACACCAGCAGATCAAACATCAGCCGACTCCCTGACCAGCGCTGTCGTCACATGAATCAAAGGGCTTGGCCAAAACGTCCTCCGGGAAAATGCGAGCGTATCAGCGTGAGCTGCTGCCATTCAGCAGATGCCGCCTGCGCGCCAGCCGACAACAGCAAGCGGTCGGCAACGGTGGCCGGTCAGCAACAGTGAGCGGTTGCCGACAGTGACGGGTCAGCAACAGTGACCGGCCGGCGAAAGTAACCGGTCTGCAACAGTAACCGGCCTGCAACAGTGACCGGCCGGCAACAGTAGCCGACCGGCAACGGTGACCCGTCACCAACAGTGACCTGTCAGCAACAGTGAGCGATTGGCAACAGCAACCGGCCTGCAACAGTAACCGGCCAGAAACAGTAACCGGTCGGCGGCAGCGCAGGCCGCACCGGACTGGGGGGGCTGACGCCTGCCGACAGGTCACCGGGCGTGGCACGTGGCCGCCAGAACCGGTTGAACCGCCGGCTGGGGGCCAGACCACACGAAACCAGACCAGACCAGACCACACACAGACCAGACCAGACCACACCAGGCCGCGTGCCAACGTCCAGGGACGGTGGTGCTACCGGCGGAGAGGCCAGTCGCGATAGCCAGCAAGCGGACAGCAGGGACAGGGACCGAGGCCAGCAGCGAGGGCCAGCACACGGACAGCAGGGACAGGGACGGAGGCTAGCAGCGAGGGCCAGCACACGGACAGCAGGGACAAGGACAAGGGCCAGCAGCGAGGGCCAGCACGTGGACAGCAGGGACAGAGACAGATAACCCCACGTCCGTGAGCGCCCGCAAACTCATCCGCAGGCGTCACAATCGAATTAGATGCGTCGTTTCACCGGCCCGAGTAACCACGCGGTTGACAGGCCCCTGCTCCCACAACGTACGCTCTGTGTCTCGCAAACCGACAACCCCCGGATCTCAGTGTTCCGCACAACAGACAGGCTGCAGCTACCAAACAGAACGACGGAATCAGAGTGGCATGGCCGCGTGACCCGCCCTCTCACCTCAGCTTTCCCCTCGGTTCGCTGGCGGTCGGAGCCAGACCTCGGCCGCCGGGAGTCACCGCCGCCGCCGCCGCCGCCGCCGCCGGTGGCGCGGCCGCCGCCGGCTCTAACCCCAGGAATGCCGCCCGGCCGAGCGGTAGCGCCAACGGCTCACCGGCCGCCAGGAATGCAGCCATGACCGCGGACGGCGCCGGCTCCGGCGCCGGCTCCGGCTACGGCTCCGGCGCTCGCGCGGGCGCGGGCTCGGGCTCGGACTCGGACTCGGACTCGGACTCGGACTCGGTCTCGGTCTCGGTCTCGGTCTCGGTCTCGGGCTCGGGCTCGGGCTTGGGCCCGGGCTCCCTCCACGGCCGCTGAGCAAACATCCTGGCTCTGCTCTGTTATCAATAAATATACGAGACCTACTGCTGTAGGATGGTGCTAGATTCTTAAGTTATTTCTATGCAAATCATACTGGTCTGAAATAGAACTCTAAATATAAGCAAATTTCCAAGTTAACAGCGATTTGTGAGTTATAATCCTGGTGTGTCACCTTCAGCAGTCACCGACTCGACGCACCCCTAACATGGGCGACGCTTGACGGACCGTTCGGCGCCCTTGAAGTCAACCGACGTGTGATTCGGTGGCCCACCGGCGCCGCCAGCTCCTACAATCCCTGGCTAGACGGGCTTCAGCCGGCAACAGCACAGCCCACCTTAGTCGTTAAGGTTGACAAGGTACATCACGCGGCCTCATCCTTTGCGCTAGCCGAATTGACGCACGCGCCCAGCCGGCTCGCCGGCGCGCCTGACTCAATAGTGCCGGTGTGTGGCGGCGCGCTCCATTGACCCAACCCGTGCCCGGCCCTGCCCTGCCGTCTTACTACGCAGCGCCGGACTCGACGGTCGATACGGCCGCCGGCCGAACCCCAGCTCCACCCCCGGCCATCGCTGGGGCGGACGGGGTACGCTGGCATGACAGCCCCGCAGAATGAGCAGGCTTCTCAACACGCCCACTTCGACGGAAGTTGGCGTGGCCCCTGGCAATGCCACATTGACCAGCGCCGCCCTTGGAGCAGCACAGCCGGCCGCCACGGGGGCCGGTTCCGGCCGTGGGCCGGCTCCTTTCCCGCGGGGACGTCCGGACCGGGGCCTCGGCGTCCGGTCGACGGCCGAGCGGTCGGCGATAGTGGCAGGGCTGGCCCGCAACGGGCGGCCGTGGCGTGACTGGCGTCGACCAATCAGCGCGCGCCACAGCCGGCCGCGCCGCCGCCGGCAGCTGACGCGGACGCCGGCGCCCCAGGCGCCGGCTGGAGCCGCCCGGCCACGTGGACGCGGCGTCTGGGCGCGTCACGGGCACGCTGGCGCTCGGCAGCGCCCGGCGGCCGTAGTAAACACAACGGAGTAGATCAGGTGCATCGGCCTGCGTAGGCGGCTCGCATCCATGGATCGACGGACAGCACGTGGTGGGTGTGGCAGGAAGCACCTGGGATCGAGGGAACGCTTCCGCCGCAGCGTCACGCCAGTCCGGCATCTCTGACGAACAACACGAGCTCCGGCGGCGAAACGGGTTGAACCCACTGCGCCCCCTAATCGAAGCTTTGGCCAACGAATTGGCGGAAGACGCGCCCACCGAGCGCCGCCCAAGACCAACAGGCAGCGCTGGTGCCGCGGGCCGAGCCGCCGAGCCCGGCGCGCCGGGCGTCTATCGCGAGCTGCCAAAGGTATGGCGGTCACCTGCTGAGCAGGGTCCGACGCCGCCAGCTGGCACAGCCGCCGCGGCCGGGCCTCCACCGCCGACCGGCCCCAGCGCAGCTCGCGACGGCGGCGCCACGGCCGGTGTCGCGGCAGCGGGCAGGCGCCGGCTGGAAAATCACGACTGCCGTGGGTGATCACGCTCCCCGTACCTTCCCGACAAGATCCGAACGGCGGTTCGTGGTGCTGAGCTCAGTGATCATACGTAATGATGATGATAGCGCTTATATATATATATATATATATATATATATATATATATATAATGTTTGCCAATCAAATGCGTCAGTATGGGTAACTTCGTCACACATGCGCGCAAGGGCATAAGCGGGCGCCGGCACTTCCGCTAAACACGTGCGCACGGACGCGCGTCAACACGCGCGCGAGCTCGCGTTCTCTTGCGCACACCGACGTTCTCTGCTGCGGGGGGGGCCTTCTTCGCCGGGGGCGTGTTGTGCGTGCGGACGTGCGTGCCCCCGCGTCGCCGCAGTGTCGCCGCCAGCGCGCCACATTCCTCCGTCAGCAGCCGCTGATCAGGCGGGCTAAACTGAGCTGGCCTGCGTCACAGGCGGCCCCTCAGCCGCCCGCCGGACAGGAATAGACGCCCTCGGCCGGTCGGCGGCACTCGTTTGAATCGGGCGCCAGGTGGCGGCCGGGCCCGCGGGCCGTCCCGGGACTGTCCCGGCACCGTCCCGTGGGCGTCCCGGGACGGTGGTGCGTCCCGAAACCCGTTCCGGCGCAGCCCACCGCCGGGGCAGCCGGCAGCGGGTCTCGGGGAAGCACCGTCGCTCCATATGGCTCAACACCGCCAGAGGGGTAGGCGGCCATACCGAGCGTAGACGCGTGCGCACCGACGTCCCACCCGGTACTGTGGCCAGCCTGTCGTCCTGGACGGGCTGACCCGTCTGGTAAGGGCATTATGTCATCGGGATCCGCCTCAGCCGGGTCACACTCCCGGGGATCTTCGCCCCATCACTCCAAGCAGGCAGCAGGACCTTGGGATCTTCGCCTCACCACTGCACGCAGACAGCAGGACCTCCGTATCAGGAGGCATCGGGACATTCAGTTCCGCCAGACGCCGGGACATTCAGTCCCGCCAGACGCCGGGTCATTCAGTCTCGCCAGGCGCTGGGTCGGCCAGTCCCGCCACGCGCCTGGACATTCATGATTGTCCCGGCCAGACGCCGGGACAATCGGTCCCGCCAGACGCCGGGTCATTCAGTCCCGGTCACCGCGACCCTGACCCAAGGCCGTCAGAAGCCAAGCCCTCCTCGAGGAGCGCGCCAACGTCGCCAGCGATGCTGGCAACCCGGGCCAGCCGCTGTCACCCGGAGGACATTAAAGCCTCGGCATGGCGTCACGGCTGGCTCGTGCACGCGCCGAGCGTCAACAAACATAAGGTGAGGCACGCGGCGGCTAAAATACCGGCCGATGGCCGACCCGGCCGGAGGCCACGCCAAACTGCATAACCAAGATAGCCGCGCCGGCTGGCGACCGGCTGGCGGCCCGGCCCCGGCGCCAGCCCGGCCCCAGATTGGTACCAGCCGTGAATCAGACGGCGGCGCCGGTGACTGCGGCACCTCTGAAGATCGGTACCAGCTGCGAATCAGACGGCGGCGTCGGTGACTGCGGCACCTCTGAAGATCGGTACCAGCTGTGAACCAGACGGCGGCGCCGGTGACTGCGGCACCTCTGAATGAGATGGGGTTCGAACCAG